CAGTTGGTACATCATGGGAAATAAGTGCCAAAGAACAGGGACAAAGAGTAGAATAACAACCACACAGGGTGCACTCTCAACTGAATTTATTAGGAAAAAAACACAAACTTATATACCAACGGGAGCACCACCATCAGACACCACACGTCACATTAGTCCCCGCCCAGACCAGGTTTCAAATATTCAAACTCATCCGTGGACAGAGCCAGAGATGTATCGCTAACGCATTTTTCACCCCTAGTTTTAATCTCAAATGCCCCGTGAAGCTCGCGTGACACTTTGTTTTTGTAATTTGCCAATATTTTAGTGCTGTCAAATGACAGGGCGCAAGCACATCTGTTGCAATGTACAGCCAAATGCCCTGACGGTGTGGTTCTAGTTGAAGCGGCGTGCTCGCGGACCCGATCATTGATACATCTTTCAGTTTGCCCTACATAGCTTAAACCACACGTCACTGGGATTTCGTAAACGACGGTGGTTTTGCAATCAGTGCATTTATTCCTATGCTTGGTATTTCCTACGCTTGGTAAAAGGGGGTTTCCCAACGAGCTCATTGGTCGAAGTGGCTGGGAGCTTGATAAAGAAGTTCAAGGGGACGTAGAATCCACCGCGCAAAAAGAGCAACATAGGGCCTGTGGTGATACCATATATGCATGGTGTCTCACATAATCTTAAGAAGGTGGCTGGGCGCTATGATGTCCCGGTCGTATTTTCAGCGCCTAACAAAATGTTGCGATTATGCAGGAGAATCAATGACCCCCAACCAACAAAAGACCCGTCCAATACCAAGCACAGGAATAAATACACTGATTGCACAACCGCCGTCGTTTACGAAATCCCAATGATGTGTGGTTTAGGCTATGTAGGGCAAACTGGAAGATGTATCAATGATCGGGTCTGCGAGCACGCCGCTTCAACTAGAATCGCACCATCAGGGCATTTGGCTGTACATTTTAACAGATGCGCTTGCACCCAGTCATTTGAGAGCACTAAAATATTGGCGAAGTACAAAAACAAAGTGTCACACGAGCTTCACTAGGCATTTGAGATTAGGAGTAGGGGTGAAAAATGCATTAGCGATACATCTCTGGCTCTGTCTACTTATGAGTTTGAATATTTGAAACGTAGTCTGGGTGGGGACTAACATGACGTGTGGTGTCTGATGGTGTGCTCCCGTTGGTATATAAGTTTGTGTTTTTTCCTAATAAATTCAGTTGAGAGTGCGCCCTGTGTGTTTGTTATTCTACTCTTTGTCCCTGTTCTAAAATGCTTATTTCCCAAGATTTTATACTATTTTCACTTTATAACTTGTTAATTAAAAATGCTGCAATTGACACCAGTGATGATAATTTACGCACTTTTGATTTCCATACTTGTTTGCACGTTTGAAATTATATTACAGCTTGAAAAATTATGTATTAGATATCTTAAATGTACTCCAATTAATAATACAAATTGCGGCAATGTAGGCCTTGAATTGGCGACGAGCGCGACCGAAAGCGTCGCTGTGGTAGGCCTTCCACGATTGGCCGAACGCTGACTTATGACGTCGGAAAGGGTATATCATCGACGGAAATAAGAGGAATGAAAGAACTTTAATTTTGACGGTGTTGGCAGTGTTCCTTTGAGAGCGCAATGATTTCAAGCTTCCACCATGCTATTTACAAACACCATCTAACTTGTTGTTTGCAAGGTAATGATGTCACAAGGGGGAACCGTAGGAGGGTGCCACCATAACTTCTCGCAGCTAATAAAGGCCGTTTAACCATAATACTTGTCGTTCCAGAAAGGTTTCATTTTGTTTTCTTTATAGCATATAAAAAACTCTGATATCTTTATCATCAAAAAGAAAGAGTCAAACACTGGATATAATATAAGATCCTATATGTATCATGCTTAGCTATAAAAACGCGCACACACTTCTGCTGTCTGACTCGGGTTCCGCTATGATGGTAGACAGAAAAGAACACGATGTACATATAAAACCACAATGGGCATTTCATATGTACGTCACGAGGTATACTGCGCTTTCATATGTATGTCAAGTTCTTTTCTGTCTACCATATCGTCTCATAGTCTACGAGTTTACTTTTTCAGTGTAACTTCGCAGTGCAGTATACCTCATAATGTTAAACCAACCAGCCCAAATCCAAGCATTGTTAGTCGGACTCCGTCTTCGGGTTTTTCGTTGCGAGAACAGCATTCCTTAATTTATATGTTTTGCAAACATATTTTAGACTCATCACATGTGGCATTATTTTGTAAAATTTGGATTGATACTGTTATTCTTGTGCGGGGAATAATGTTAAAGCAAATAATCATCTGAATACAAAAAAAAAAACATTGAAAGGTGCACAGTGTATTATTTCACAGGACAGTTATCTGAGCAAGAAAAGGCAGCAAGAACACACAAATATCAGCACTGATCTTGTTCAACGAATACAATATTTTATGTTACCTCTAAGGTGTACGGAATACCCTGTCTTAAAGGGACACTGAAGTCTCCAAAAGTGCCTGGATAGGACACGTATATCACAAAATAAAGTTTCCGCGGACAACTTCTTTAGCTCAATAATTACGCTGTGAGTAACATCGAGTTAGGAAAGAATCCGTAATTAACACCTGTACCAAGAAATTAGATCCAAAATAGAGGTTAGTTTCGGTTTCATTCCAGAACTAAAACGTGCCTCCTGGATAAAAGATACACTAAACATTGTTTTTGTTTTCAGGATAAAGACGTGACCTGCACTTATAACACCCTAGCTTCCTCGTATAAGCGGGAATAATTTGTGTTGCTCGGCGAAGCCAGCACACTAGACAAGCTCGGCAACTGGTATACCGGCACGCATCTCCGACCCTATCTATAACCGCCATTTTGGAAAACGAGTGGTGCCACCTATAGTGAATTGGAGTCGTGAATAATATACACATGCATTTTGACCCCTTCCCCCCCTCAGCACCCCAAGTCACGACATCCCAGCCACCTCAGCCACCGCCCCCCTTCCCTTCCCTTCCCTTCCCTTCCCTTCCCTTCCCTTCCCTCCCCCCTGCCAGAAAGATTCCTGGCTACGCCACTGCCTGATGGGTATTCACCCAGGCATGTTCATAACTGTATGGTCCTTCCAATTGGTGATCTCTACTTGGAGCAATGCTTGGTAAGGGTATTTATATAAAACAAAATATATACAATAAACTTCAGCTCCATTTTTCAAAGTTAGACTTTGGAAGTAATCAGAATTCTTAAAAAGCATCTCGGTTCTTTCTTCTTTTTGGCAGCGGGAGTAAAATACACGTTTATGGCAGGAAGTGTGGCAGGGGGATCTATGTGGTTTGTTTCTTGGCTAGAAAAAAAGAAGCAGCTAAATCTGTAATTAGCTACAGACAAGGCCACAAATGGTATATAATTTTGTCATTTTCAGTGAGCTCGCAAATTTGGGGTTTACGTGCCAAACCAAGGAAGGGCATCTAGCACGCTTTAGCGGAGAGAGAAGTGAGGAATAATTGTAACCACCTGGGGATCTTTTGACATGCAACTGAAGTCTTGCTTACACGGCGTCTTCTGCGAAATAAGCATCCGTCAGAATGGTGGGGTTTTTATCCTTTTCTATTTTTAATATTGAATGTGTGCCTTAGATGACCCCCGACTTTGAATATATTTAATAGACACAGTTTGAACGCCACGTGACCATGGCCTCCATCAGAATGTTGGCACCCCGGCTTCATACTTAAATCAGACATCACTTGACCTTGACAAGCCAGTAATAAAGATGCACATACAGTACATGTCTTGTTTCAGCATAATTTGGCAAAGGGCGAAAGCTCCGGCTCTAGCTGCTAGTCAATCAGAGCGACAGAGTGAAGCATGCGACAGCTTTGTACAGGACAAATGAATTAATTACGGCAGTAAATTGTCATGGGCCTTGCTCCGGCATTCTAATTGGCTTGCCAGGACCATAGCTTTCACCTTTTGCCAAGTCAGGCTTGAACCAAGTATAGTAGACCTATTTCACCCCTTCCACCTAAACAAAATATGAACTTGCACTTCATAAAAGTGTCTAAACCAGTGTGCAATACAATGAATGACATTGTCCTGGCCGTTCCTGGACGACAAGAAAAGAAGGAAGAGGACAAGAAGGCACTGGCAAAATGCGCGTAAGCGGGAATGGCGCGCCAAAGGATTCGAGATCAACAGAGCTCGGAGCAGCTCCGTCGACAAGCTAGGGGTCCGGGCACCCCAACGACTTCTGTCGGGTGCCAAGGCACCGAGAGGCTCAGCACTGCTCTCTCCCAAGCGGTCCAGGCGCCGACCTGCCAGAGGCCGACTCTACTGTGCGGGAGGAAATCAGCAACAAAAACCACCACCTCTACAAGGCTCTGACGCGTCATCGCACTCCAGATGGTTTACCGCGCGACGAATGACATTCACAGCCCTCCCTCCGCTTGCCATTAACAACACCAATCCAGCTGCCAACATCATTTGACCAAGACTCTAAACTTCCAAATCTTGAGAACTGACGCCCTATTACCTATTCTTCGACTGACTGATGTATATGTCACCCAGTGTAAATACCTTTATTTTCTTTTATTCTAGAGCTAATGCTTTCCTAATATATACAGGTGTCTCGTATGATTCCTTCCATCAGTAATCACAAACAACATCAGAGACATTATTTGAGAGTAAAACACTTTAGTATGTAATAAACAATAGGGTCAAACAGGATAGTGATACAATTTAATAAAATTCTGGAGCCTAAATGCAATGCCGGATACTGCAACACTGGAAGAAAGCCCTTAATAGGGACAGCTGAACAATTTTGATGGAACACAAAGATATGAAATTGACAAAGACACTGCAGCAGTGTCTTCGTTCATGGCTTACCTTACGGTTTTGTCAAACTTATTCAACTGTAACAAAGCATATGAGCCAACCAGCTCTTCAACTAAAGCCAGTAACAAAGAAAGCCCTAGTTTTAGAAGTCTTGGGATGACATTGAACATACCTGTTGTGGTGGCAGAGGTTTCCTCATATTCGGCTGATGGCCGCCACTGGTAAGGCAACACGTGCTGTCCATTGGGGTGCCTAACCGCAAAGCCCGCTTGTCCATCACCACCCCTCAGTACCTGGAGGTAAGGTTTCAAATATCCGATGTCAGCCAATGAAAGGGTCTGGGTGGCACAGATTTCTCCACAAATACTGAGACATGTACTGTAGGAAGATGTCCCACCCAAACATTACAGTGCAACTATTTACCTGTGATCAGCACCCATTTATTTTTTGTTGGCTGTGTAAACTTGCTTAGATATGGTGAAGGCTAAATCGTTTATGAAGATTTCTCGCACGACTATATATTCTTTCTGCCAAGTAGACTTCCCCGAGAAATCTGTCTATTTATAAAAAAGAGCAAAGGTCGACACACTGGAGATCAAACCGTGATTGTGCTACGTATAAAAACACCACAAAAACAAAAAAAGAAGTTGGTGGAAGTTTAACATGGCATACGTGTAGCAAGCTGTTTGATGTGTGCTATCAGTTTGTGTGTGTGTGTGTGTGCGTGTGCACGTTATTTTAGAGTCTTGTCTTAGGATCTTGTCTCACTAAAGAGACAACCACATACACATATATATATATATATATATATACAAACTGATCACACACATCAAACACAGCTTGCTACACATACACCATGTTAAACTTCCACCAACTAGCCCAGATCTACTTTGTTACCTTGCTAGCAGCCCCTCTTTTTTAAGCTTGGGGCCACGAAATATCTTTATGAACATCTGGTACTGCAGCAGATGGTTCGGGTCACTTTAAAGCCCATACTGTTTTGACGTGCTGGAGGCACTAAAAGCTTCACTCCTAAGTGTACCAAACTTTGGAAATCAGTCTGAATGGAAAATTGCTTTTTTTTTTCTTCTTTCTTTTAACAACTCATTAGTCTGTCGAACGTTAGAACAGTGAATGGTTACAGTTTTGCCACGTATAGTTCTGGCGGATTACGTCTATTGCGAGCAAACTGGTTCGACAAGCGCTTCGCTGGCAGGGAGCCGAAGCTGAGCACGCGACGACATATCGCCCAACCGCATCTTACAAACGCGTCGTTTTCCACCGTGGCAATGACCGTGGCACATATTCCGTTACGCGAGTGAATGACACCGACGCACGCCGGCTACCACCGAGCACCCAGCTTCGTCGAAATGCACGCCGCCGCAAGTAGGCTTCGAAACGAAGGAAAGATCCGGTTTTCGGGCTCGCATCCCCAAGCGTGGAGCGGTCGTCGAAGTGGCAACGTGTTGTCGCTTCTCAGATGCACAAAAAGCGCAGCACTTGCACGATGACGGCCGTCGTATACCGCTCGAAAGAAGCGCCGTATGCCGCGGTTCGGCCGTCAACAACAAACAGCGGCCAGCTGATGAGAGGCCCGTCACCTGGTAGGCCACGTAGACCGATGCCCCCGCCTCGACGTTTTGATAGAAGCACTCCTCCTTGCCAGCGTCGACGTGCAGCTTAAATTCGAAAGAGGTGCCTAGCGACGGTTCCGAAATGTAAGAATCGGCCGATGTGTGGACCGCTAACGTCGTGAAGAGGAGTGCAGCGGCTGCCACACGGTTTATGCCCATTTCGTTGAACTTTGCCGCCGCTTTCCTCGCACGACACAGAGATGCACGTTGCACCAGTTGCACTTGTGAGGTGTGGTTGACTCTTTCCACCTTTCCACTCGGGACAGATGGCGCTCTGCGCGCTCTGAGTCAAAGCTCTACAGGTGGACAAACGCAACCACACTGTTTTTAATATTTGGGGTGTAGCTTGCGCTACCTCATTTATGTCGCAACAACTTCAAAACATGGTTATATATATATATATTTTTTTTCTTTAAGATCCAGCGTCTTGCCAGGGTATCGACATTGTTAATGGTACTCAAATATATATATAATATAGTATTTTAAAGCATTCTTTATTTCAATGATTTGTGAGTTACGGTTACGCGCGGCCCGCTCCCGCAAGTGAAGCCACCGGACGCAATGCTGGGATCCGATTTGCGGTTTTGCCAGCGTTTGGCTGCGGTTTTCTAGCGTGCTGTAAACACGTTTTCTACTCGTTCGTCGTCATTCGCCGAAGAAGCTTTTTTTAAGATTCTGTGTACTGTTGAGACTTGCCGTTGTGAGCACGTGGAAAATTTTACGAAATCGTAGTGTCGCAGGAAAAACGCACAACTCGTCGACAGCAAGATTCGCCGGTCTGACGGCGTGTTCAAAGCTTCCCTGGCACGCCGAAGTGCCGTGTGTCTGCCTTCGCACGCTTGGATACCAACAAGGGCAATGTGCGTGAGGCCGTGCGTATATAAAGGTACAAATCGTCGAAAGCAAGTGTCGTCGGTCTCGCGGCGCGATCAAAGCTTCCTTAGGACGCCGAGTGCTGCATCTTTGTGCCTTCGCACGCTTGGATACCGATCAAGAATCGGCGCCGCACAAAGTTCTGAACGTGTGTCGCGCGTAGATGCCTTTAGATATCATTTATATATATATAAATCGGCCACGGAGTTCTTGGTCGTCCAGCTGTTCCGGTGAGTTGCTATCAATAAAAGGGGGGGAGAGGGGTTTGATCTGTACGTGTTCTTATGCGCTATTAACCATGGCTATGTTCCAAATCTACTATAATGGATCACATGGGAGCACGAATAGAGCAAAGCTGTGGAGCAAGAAGGGTTTTCGAAGGCAAAAGTACAAGACGGCGAGAATGAAAATCTTTGAAGCGCGGCCCATATGGTCGTGTACAATCTGTTGACCAATCACAATTAGGCGAGCCGCGCTCAAACGTCAAGTGCAATTAAGTAGGTTGATAATGAGCCAGCACTGATCAGTGATGAGGAGCTGTTTTGCGCTGTATACTGTAAATCGTCTAAGGACGAAAAAAAGACGTACCTTCTTCCCCTCTTCCATCGCTACAGGACGCTGGAATAAGCTCGTTTCTGGACCGCGAGTGCCGCAAGCATACAGTCGTCAGAGTAAAGTAAGACGCTGATCCAGAGGCAAATGCGGCTTCACGCACATTGCACACGCAAAACACATTCACACGGCGTCGATTCTTGGTCGGTATCCAAGCGTGCGAACTGCGAAGGCAGAGATACGACACTTCGGCGTGCCAAGGAAGCTTTGAATACGCCGCCAGACCGGCGAAACTTGCTTTCGACGAGTTGTGCCTTTTTTGCTGCAGTAATGCGCCTTCGTAAAATTTTCTACGCGTTCACAACGGCAAGTCTCAACGGTGCACTGAGTCTTAAAAAACTTCTTCGGCGAATGACGACGAACGAGTAGAAAAGGTGCCTACAGCACGCTGGAAAACCGCAGCAAAAGGCTAGCAAAACCACAAATCGTATCCCAGCAGGGTTACCGTCCGGTGGCTCCACTCGCGCTGCGGCAAACAAGCGAAGCGCGATCCAGCAATGGACCTTTTCCGAGAAGCGTTCTGCGCACGCGCGAGCGCCCGATGCCAAGCGGCGGAAGTCGGAACGAAAAATCGAGGAAATTCGGAAGGAGGCTGTATATCAGCGAGTAGAACACGTAACTGCAACATATATACAATTGTGTCACACAAAAAAAGAACGACGACGGAAAGGAAAACACGACGTTTGGGTGGAGGCCACGGATGCCCCTCTTTATAGTCGCGTCGGGCAGGCGCCGCTGCTCAGAGAGCGAAGAAACTGGTAGCGTAGCTCCCATTATCGATTGGTAGCGCAGGTAGGTCACTTCCTCGATTTTTAGTTCGTGCAGCCACCGCCTGGTGCCGTCGGTATGTGGAAAGGTTCATTGTGATTGAGATCAGTGCCCTAGACATAGAGATCAGTGAGTGCCCTTGACACGGCCGTGTTCCGAAATTTACTCGATCCTACTCCAGGGTAAGGGTTTTGTGCCCTTGGAGTTCTAAAACCCACCCACGTCCAGCGTTTTTTGATCTGTGCTGTCACGTGATACGATCCGCCGGAGTAACGCGGATCCATTTGAGCAAGATTTGGAACACAGCCGAAAACATCCTATGTATTTTTTGTTGGTGGTAGTGGTTTTGTATGCATATGACCGCAGTTATTTGATGCCGGTACAAATGGACATTTCAAACACTCAGCACACCTTACTTTATTCCTTTACTGCTATTGTTGTCTTCGTGTCGATAATGATGTAGACTTGGTACCACTTTCGCTAGTAGAGCGGACGAAGTCGACGCCCAAGACGCGATATATACAGAGTGTTTCGCGAAAAGTGGACAAATTCGATATTGCGAAAAACACGCATCTCACAAAAAAAAAAATAAAAACTTGTGTCATTTTGGGTTTAGGCAAGGGGCCTATTTAGGAAAATTATGAAACTTCGGGATAATCAAGTTGTTAATTACTTTTGCGTATTTTTTTGTAATATTGAGTTTAAGGGCATGGTTTTATTTGGAAACTTGCTGAGCATTATCGAAAAACACGGAATAAAAAAATTGGAGTGCGATTGAAGGCACGCACTGCATTTTACAGCTCTCTGCAAAACCTCACAACTTCGACGGGATTTTAAGTTTCGGTTTGCAATCGGAGCGCTTCTCGGTAGGGAGCAGGGCGTAAGATAGACAGGTGGGGAAACGGCCCATAGAAACTTACCGCAGCGCCGTGACCGGATTGTGTACTCGTCTGCTTGCGGGTACCCCCGATTTGCGACAGATGGCGCTGCGGCGAGAAGAAAAAAACTGGAATCAAATTTGCATGGAACTTTATGGGAGAGTGCGCAAAATAAACCGAGAGCACGACAGTTCTCTATTGAAAATCCACGAGAAACCTTCTCCGTCAGTTTAGCCGGCCGCCACCGTTCGCCCACCCAGAGTGAGAGTTCGCGGTTCTCCACATAGATGGCGCCACAGAAAAAGAGAAAACTGAGGGGGACACAATGCGGTCGCTCATTTGGCTCTCGTTTCCCCACCTGTCTATCTTACACCCTGGTAGGGAGGCTCTAGTTACTTCTCGGTACTTCTCGCCCCGTGGAGAAATAGTGCAACCTGCCTCTGCTGCGCTGTGCGAGGACAGCGAAGCAGACGTTGGTTGCACTATTTCTCCACGGGGCGCGGTTTCGTCGATGCCGAGAAGCGCTCCGATTGCAAACCGAAACTTAAAAATCCGTCGAAGTTGTGTTCTTTTTCAGAAAGCTGTAAAATACAGTAAGTGCCTTCTATCGCACTCCAATATTGTGACGTGTTTTTCAATCATGTTCAACAAGTTTCCAAATGAAACCATACCCGTAATCTCAATATTTAAAAAATTAATTACGCGAAAATAATTAACAACTTAATTATCCCGAACTTTAATAATTTTTCTAGATAGGCCCCTGGCCTAAGGCCAAAACGACGCAAGGCTTCTTTTTTTTTCTTTTTTTGGTGCGATGCGTAGTTTTCGCAATATCAAATTTGTCCACCTTTCGTGAAACACCCCGTATATATGGCACCTGCCTCCTCGAAGACAGCGCGTGAGAAATTATCAGAGAAGAAGGTGAAGAACGAGGAGAGCTCATGCTATCGGACCCTTCGAAAGAAACACGGAAGTCATCGTCAGCTAGGAAGCTACATATTCCAGATATTTTTGGTAAGCAACATCACCATTACAAGGTCTGTTCCCGCCTGTCAAAACTACTTTTCTGGCAGCTACTGTTACGGCGTCTGTGTCGGTTCCCCAAAACCAGCTATGACTTCGTACAACAAACGCATCGGAGTATTTTTGTGAAAAAAAAAAAAAAAAAATCATTCCACCCTTCGCTCGCACGCAAAGGAAATGAACCAGTTCAGGGAACGGTACCATGTACCTTTGTAGAATTATTGTGCCTACCGCGCAGAAGAGGTTGTGTCCATTCTTTCTGTTTAAAGCGGTGGTTGAGCGCGTTTCTCGAAGAAAACAATGTAATTTTCGCATGTGAATGTACGTGCAAACTCTTATTTTTGCATAAGCTATTCCTTTGCGTACCGGCGGGAAAATTCGGTGCTTCTGTCTTTTAGTGACAATAACTATATTTGCGCAAAAGAAGCACAAAAATGTGCACGCGCTGTGATGTACAAGGTTGTAAATAATTGAAATCCTGTTCGCGTTGCTCTTGCAAATTAACCACCAAACATGATGAAAAAAATTTTTTTTTAAATTTGTGAAGGCGGCGTGTTACGTGGGTGTGGTGGATAAGATGGCTGGAGGGAAGTTTCTGAAAAGAATCTCTCCTAGTTGGAGTTCTCTACACGCAGCGACTCAGCATAGCATGTTCCTCGCGAAGGCGATCGAGTCTTCTATTGGTTTCATGCCTAATGCTTTCTCCGCAATGTGTGGGTAAATGTTGACTCTCAAATTCCTGTCGAGTTCATTTTCATGCTTTCTTTTTATAGTACTAGGGTACAATTCACTTATAACCACAACACATATGACCTTTAACGATCAGTTTATAGACTAGAAACGCTCAGCTTTTTTGTGCAGATACAACGATAATCGGATTGAATTTTAGGGTTTTCTCATTATCGCTATAAGTGGATTCTGATTGCACTTTAATATCGTTTTATTTAGGCCACAGTGGTGCCAAACCAAAGTCCAATCAGTACCAGAACAAACTGGAAGGGGGGCGGGGGGGGGGGGGGGGGGGTGCGTTTAAAGGGCCCATGATATAGGGTGACCACCTTTCTGCTAGCGAAATGCGGGACACGCG